GCCTGCAAGGTTTCAATCCCCAACTGCTGATGAGAGATCCAAAACCTCCATTTCCTTTCATCTATCTATCCTACTTTAATTATATATGTCTGCACTAAATCATTATGAAGAATAAAACACCTTTCTCTTTCTCTGTATGTGTGTTAACTACATATACTATGTTTTGTAGTATATTAAGATCATGGCTGCTATGATCTTTGTACTGGTTACACGTTAATTACTTCTATATGAAAGAGATTATATTACCCCTTATCATTTCTCAATCTTATAATTGTCATTTATCGAGATAATCCTTTTGATTTTGTTTTGCAAATAACCACAAGGAGAGAACACAAGGTAAATCAGTACCAGCCCCACGAGACTTAGAGTAATTGGTTCATCGCTTCACTTAAAGGTCACAACGAGAGGCGGCTGTGTGTGGTTCGAATTTCATTGGTAGCTAGCATGTAAGGGGAAAAAGCTCAAGGATGCTAGTTCGGATTAGATCCCTTGTGTAGGTTGAATGTGACTCGTGATTTATTTCTGTAGTGACTCTAGGAGCAGGATCCTGTGGACTTAAGATTAGTCCAAAGAAGTTGGAATTACCTGATTTTTTTTAAGGTAAATCAATACCAATTTGACTAGAATTGAAATAGTATTTTATGGATCAAAAGTGAAAAGTTAATAATAGTTGGGAATTAAAATAAAAATACTACTAAGACCAAAATAGTGGTCTCTTTCAGTCTTTCTCACTCCCTTCATGTAGTGATTAGTTGGACTTAAATATTCAAAGACCTTGGGGCAGTTGGGGGTACGCCGTACGCGTCTTTAGAAACAGGAGCTAAAGTACTATTTCCTCTTTCTTTCCCAGTTTAGTTGCAGCATATTGGGAAATTAGATCAAATGTTAAAGGAAATTCATATTTTAATTTCACTTTATTCTTAACACGTCACAGCTTGTACATTAGTTTCATTAGTTTCTTATATTTTGAGTTCAGTTATATATATATATATATATATATATATATATATATATATATATATATAGCATAAGTTGTAGTAATCTTCAGAACATGAAAAGTAAATAAACAATGGCATACCAAAGATCTTGTGGTCCAATAGTACCAAGTTGCTCCCCAATGTATGAGGTGTTGGGTTCGAGCTTTGGGTATTCTCTTCTTTTATAATAAAAATAAACAGGGACATGATCGGCAATCTCCTTTATTTTTTATTCTGTTATTCAAATTTAGATGAGTAAAAGAATAACTAATTTTGTAATTGTTAAAGAATTTGAATTCAATAATAAAATCACAAAAAAAAAGACAAACAAATATAATAAAGAGTATCAAAACCCTTAATAAAGTACAAATGTCTCCGATCAAACAGTCATCAACAGGGTCTCCTTTGAATAATTTGTTAGAACAAAAAAATATGTGGCTCAAATTCATGGCTGATTAATTCCGAAGGCTTTCGGACCACATTTGTACTATGGTGTCTCATGATTCACCATAATTTTTTTTTTTTTTTCTTTTTCACTAGCTTTAACGATTTCTTCTATTTTTTACCCCAGAAAGCTGAATCCCCAACCCGACAGAGCAGTACAGTGACTCAATGGGTTAGTAGGCAGGGACAGAGCAGTGACTCAATGGGTTGGTAGGTAGGGCCAAAGGCTGAATCCCCAACTCGACAGAGCAGTGAGTAGGCAAGAAACACTGGCACTCCGAGGTTCGAACCTTGATCTTTTACTCCAAATACTACCCACTAAACCATTGAGCTAAGCCCGTGCGGGTTTCTTCTCATTTCTTAATGTATATTATTAGCGGCTCAAGCGCGATGCACGTACCATGCCCAACAAAGATCGAATAGAATTAATGATTCAACATAATTTATATAATCTGCAGTCTAATATTCATGTATGAATGAGGTGTTGTTTTAGACAATTATTGACTTTATTCTGAGAGAATGTTTAAAAGATTATATAATTGTGCGAGATTTTAAAATTATAATATTTCATTTGTCTATAACAAATGATTTTTCACGTAAATGTTGTTACTAAATATGAGTAATATGCATTTGACGAAAAAGATTTGTGAGCCAGGAAATGTAACATACGAGTTAGTGTACAATAGGAGGCAAGAAAGGAATTATCAATTTGTCCACATTTGGTTATGTATTAATGCATATACTTCAATCATGTGTTGAGGCTTAGACTTAGTTTAGGTTGTTAGTCTTTTGTCTAGTCCTTTGGGCTGATACAACTTGTTTCTTGTTTCTGTGGGTTGCTCCCTATTTATTCTCTCTATTAGATGTTTAATAATACAGTCAGTTCTCACTCTCACATGGTATATGAGCCATTACTCTAGTGAATTTCTTTTCCCCCCTTGTCCTTTCTTTTTTCGTTCTATTATGGCTGCCACAACTCAACCGATTGTTATCCAAATCTATGCCCCATCTCACCTCCCAATCAAACTCACAACCTCTAATTTTCCAATTTGAAAAAAACAAGTGGAGTCCTCTAATTTTCCAATTTGGAAAAAACAAGTGGAGTCTACGCTCACAGGACTAGACCTCGTGGGGTACGTTAATGGAATGATTCCTGCACCAGCTAAATACTCTGACCCGGCGCGAACAACATTAAACCTAGCCTATACGGCGTGGTATAGACATGATCAAATTACCCCGAGTGCAATCCTAGGGAGTTTGACAGACACCCTACAACCTGTAATTTCATCGACTTCATCTGCGTTTGACGCATGAACCCAACACTCCACGACCTGCGCATCCTCTTCCCGTTGCGGAATAGTTTCGTTAAAAGCGAAACTAGCTAAGAATCCCAAAGGCAACAGGTCCATTGACTCCTACATGCGTGAGATGCGCACAATTGCAGACGATTTAGCTCTTGCTCAAAGTCCGGTTACTGAAGAAGACCTGGTAGTGCATATATTCACACAACTCGATGCTGAATATAACTCCATTGTGGATGCCCTTCGTGCGCGAACTGATAGCATTTTGTTTAGGGAGCTGCCTAACGTTCTTACTGATTATGAACGGCTGCTAAGAGATAATGATACCGCCTCTCAAGTTCACATGTCTACGAAAAATGTGATGCAACGACGAACGAACAACACAGCTAAGTCAAATTTCCAGTCAAGCAATCGTCGTGGTAGAGGTGGATGGTGCGAATGGGAGGCAAAATCAAATGCGGTTTTCTGGCTACCGTCAGGCTTGGCACTGCAATTATTGTGATTACCCCGGGCATGACACAAGATACTGCCGCAAACTGGCCAAATTTTTGAAAGAAAACAATGTTACTGTCCTAGAACCTCAAAGTAGTGGCCATCAGTCCCATGCGGTGCACACCGCGGCTACTAGTCCAGCGCAATCAAAATCCTGGCTCATGGACTCGGGAGCCTCCCATCACACTGTCACTGATCCTATGTCTCTACAGACATTTTCAGAGTACACAGGTCCGAATGAGATTGTTCTAGGCGATGGTAAGTGCTTACATATTTCACATACTGGGTCCGCTTCTCTCCTAGTTGAAAATCGTTTTCTTTCCCTGTCTGAAGTCTTATGTGTTCCGAGTCTACAAAAGAATTTAATTTCCGTTTCCAAACTCTGCAAAACTAACTCGGTTTCGGTTAAATTTTTTTACACTCATTTTCTTGTTAAGGATCGATCATCGGGAACACCTATTGTGCGCGGTCCGGTCGTGAATGATGTTAACAGCACTCCCCGTCAGAATTGTCAAGTCAATGTCAATGTCAAATCCTCAATTCCCAAGTGGCACCATCAATACAGACATCCAAACCATTGAGTTCTGTCCTCCATTCTCAAAAGCAATAATGTTCCTTTTAATCGTCAGCCACTTGAAACGTTTTCATGTACTTCATGCCATATAAATAAAAGTCACAAATTGCTCTTTTCGTTTAATTCCATGTCAAGCACTAGACCGTTGGAGCTTGTTTACACTGATGTATGGAGTTCATCAACAGTCTCGGTAGATGGTTTAAGGTACTATATTTATTTCATAGACCACTACACTAAGTATGTTTGGTTATTTCCATTAAAGCTTAAATATGATGTTCACAAGTTGTTTCTTTAATTTAAAACCATGGTTGAAAATTATTTTGGGCATAGAGTAGTGCCTGTTTTTTCAGATAACGGTGGGGAATATACCAAGTTAATTCCAATGTTCAATAGGCTGGGGATTTCACGTTTTACTTCCCCTCCCCACACCCCGGAACATAATGGTTCTGCAGAGAGGCGTCGCATGCATATTGTGGAAAGCGGTATGGCGTTGTTACACTTTGCGTCCATGCTATCTTCATACTGGTCATATGCCTTTCAAACGACAGTCTATCTAATCAACCGCATGCCTACTCCTATACTCCAACACTACATACCATATGAAAAATTATTCAACAAGAAGCCCAACTACAACAAAATTCAACCATTCAGCTGTCTTTGCTTCCCGTGGTTAAACCATACTTCCCAGGTAAACTACAACCAAAATATCTGTCATGTGTTTTTTAAGGTTACGCCCTGAGTCAGTCAGCATACAAGTGTATGGACCCGTCTACTGGTCGACTATATTTTTCCCATCATGTTTCATTTGTGTCGGATGATTTTTCGTTTCGTGCTCTATGTTGGTTGTCACAAAATTCTCCCACACACGTAGAGCTTAGCCCTCCACGGCAAACAATTTCTCTTACCTTGGATCCGCTGCCTGCTACGTCTTTTCCCAGTACAGATAAGAATTTGTCTTCATCCTGCTCATTTAATTCCTTGTCGCAAGCCTGTCCCTCAGCTGGAGACTCCACGCCCTTGTCTCTGCCAAGCACCTCTGGTCTGTCCGGTGAGTCGGTGACTTCGAAGCCCACTCCTGGGTGTTCAGAACTAGCGCTCACGGCTCCAGTCCCTTCAGTCACAGCCTCAATACCAGCTGCCTCTAGTTCAGAACTCATGCGGTAAGTGTCGATCACCTCCAACACGCAATAGTTGAACTCCCAACCTCTCGCGATGTCCCGGCCTCAACAACAACGCGGTCCGAATCCTAAATATTTTAACGACAAGATAGTGAATGTGGCTATTGTTCATCCCATTGCTTCGTCAATTGAGCCAAAGACGGTGTCGCAGGCATTAAAGAAAGAGTTGTGGACAACTGCCATGACCGATGAGTTTAATTCATTGGTGCGAAATAAAACGTGGGAGTTAGTACCGCGGTGTAGCCATGTTGTGGTTGATTGCAAGTGGGTCTTCCGGGTAAAACGCAAAGCTGATTGTTCAGTTGATAGGTTCAAGGCTCGGTTGGTCACGAAAGGCTTTCTGCAGGAGTCTGGTCGTGACTATTTTGAGATGTTTAGTCCGGTGGTCAAACCGGTGACCATTCAGGTTATTCTGAAGAGGTCTATATGGAACAACTGGCTGGTTTTGTTGATCAACAGTTGCTTGGTTATGTCTGTAAGCTAGATGATAGCATCAGGGGGCCTAGCTTGCCCCCTCCCCCACCCCCACCCCCACCCCCCTAAACACACACCAAAAAAATATTTTTAATAGTGCTGTAGTATTTTTTTGTAGCCCCCCTCACCAAATATTTCATCAGGGATACCCTTTAGCAGGTTGGCCTGAGTTAGGAATGGGTTAGGAACGTCATGCACTGTGTAGAAACTGCTAGACTCAGTATTATCTGGAATGGGAAGCTTTTGGAGTGGACCAAACCGAAAAGAGGCATTAGACAAGGGGACTCAATCTCTCCATATATTTTCGTTCTTTGCATGGAGCACCTCAGTCATATTATCAAGGATCCAGTCAGAAACAATAGATGGAGAGGTCTAAAGACCAACAGGTATGGACCAATGCTTTCCCATTTGTTTTTTGCTAACGATCTTGTCCTTTTTGCAGAAGCCTCACAAGACCAAATTTTGGTCATCATGGAGTTCTTGGAGAGATTCAGTAAAGCCTCAGGTTAGAGTCAGCCTCGGTAAGTCGCATATTTTTTTTCTCAAAAAATGTGGACACGCAAGCGATGCACACCATTAGCGAAATTGCCGGAATTCCAATCACTCCTAATCTAGGAAAGTATCTTGGCTTCCCGTCAATTCATGGGAGGACTACTAACCGCCTTTTTGCCCCTATTCTTGATAAAATGGATGCAAGATTGAATGGGTGGAAAGTAAAATTCCTCACTTTGGCAGGAAGACACGTCCTCGCACAAGCTGTTCTTCAAGAGATTCCTTATTACAACATGCAAACTATGCTGCTTCCTGCAAGTATTTGGGAGGCGATTGGTAAAAGAATCCGAAGGTTTATTTGGGGTAGTACAGTGGATACCCGCAAAGTTCCCCTGGTTAAATGGGAGAAAGTGACTCAGCCGAAAGAAATTGTAGGCCTTGGTGTTAGGTCATCTAAAGATGTCAATCTCGCCTTTATGGAAAAGCTAGGTTGGAAAATGTTAACTGATAAAACCAGTGTAATACCCCCTAATTTCCATAGATTATGGACCGCATCCCTATATATATATATATATATATAAAACAGCCGATTGTCGATTGTTCTCAACCAATCCAACTGCCTGTATAGCCGACCGATCGCAACCGGTCGGGATAATACCTGGCGGTTCTCAACCCACCAGATAGTCACTATAGCCAATTGATCACAACCAATTAGGTTATCACGCACAACAACATAGAAGTCAAACAACATGCAACCCACATTAACACATAACGAGGGGGAACCCTTGGGGAACACGTAACCCATCATAACTCATATGTAATAAACTACATTAACCCACCCATGACACTCCTACGGGATCATACACCTTCCTCCTAGGCCAACTGGATACCAATTCATCTAGCATGCAATACACAAGACTTTTTTGTCCTAAGAACGGTACCCGATACATCAAACTAGACTCACACAGGGAAAAATACCACGAACGGGACACAGGGAAACATCAAACGGGGAAAAATACCACGAACCACGCCAGGATTCCAACGGGTAGGTGGCGGGTGGAGGACCACCTGCCAACCACCCGCCGGCGGCGGGTACCATTCCAGCGGGTGGCCGGTGGGCAGTCCACTGCCCGCCGGCTGCCCGCTGTAACAGTAGAGGCGGGCAGTGGGTAGGTGGCGGGAGGTCAGTCCCCCACCTACCCCCCACTGATACACAGGCAACTTTATGGTACCGGGATCCCTCGTGGAACCCGAAACCATGTCCTAACACATTCAGACACATAACGACAACACCACGTATTCAATTAACGGAATCAAACCAAGAATCACAACAAATACACCCTAACACGATTCCTAAACATGCCAAGACTCAACATAAATCACATAACGACCTAGGGACAACTAGAATCACAAGAACATTAAGAAATCTATATGCAAAGTCCTAAACACAAGTCCTGGGCTAGACTCAACTAGGGGTGACCACGGTTCCGGTTCCGGTTCGATTCCGGTTCAGAACCGCCGGTTCCGGTTCCGTGGATGGCGAAACCGGAACCGGAACCTTATAGTAAGGTTTCGGTTCCTGTTGGAACCGCCGGTTCTAACCGGAATTATTAAAAAAAAAATTAAAAATAACACTATAATATTTAATTTTTTCGGTTTGGAACCGGAACCTCCGGTTCCGGTTCTAAGATTTTACAAACCTTAACCCGAACCTTATAGGTTCCGGTTAAGAACCGGAACTGGAACCGTACGGACGGTTCCGGTTTGCACAGTCACGGTTCAGATTTGCACAGTCACGGTTCCGGTTCGAACCGGAACCGTGGTCATCTCTACACTCAACACTCGATCATGCAAAATCCACCCAAATAAACCAAGAACATCATAATACGAATTTAACGATATAACCCTAGGGCTCTATACACAATCAAATTACAAGATCGTTCATATAATTTCTCATAGTATCAAGAACATCAAGATTAACACATAAACATCAAGATTATCACATAAAAACCATATAAATCCTAGGCAAATCTCTATCAAGACTCAAACACAGAATCATATATCAAAGGAGCCAATGAATAAGATATAGCAAGGAAAATAGGTTTTGTTGAGACATGGGTTACCTCTTAGCCTTAATTAGTATCCTTGGCTACTAAGGTTCTTTCTCTAAGATCTTCTTCTCATGGGTTCTCCTACGTTTGGTGACAGGGGAATTCCTGGGAATATCTTGTGTCGTAGAATCAATTGTGGTGGGATTTCTAAGTGCTTCCTAAGTCCTTATATATATTTAGGAGTCCTAACTAGGGTTTGAATGGTAAGTATCCACTTATTCTATTCCTTATAGGACTAAGGGTTTGGTTTACGGATAAGGGTCCATGATCCATGGCGGGCCACCTCAATTAATTAAGGGGATCCTAACCCAATCAAAAATCCTTTCTAATTATTATTAATGGTAATCAATTAAATAATTAGTCCGGGTTAGAGGTCGTAACACAGGGTGTTACACAGGGGTTACTTGGAGGGAATGGTTGGAACTGAAATAAGGCCGGGGGTAGCCATAAGGTTGGAACATGGCATAAGGTTGGAACTTGGAACTATGAAACTTGTGACATGTAGTTGTCACTGTGGCATGTAGTTGCCACTGTGTGAATGTGAATTCCTTGCTTATGAGCATGTCTTGATGTATTCTACTTTGTGATCAGTAGAACGCGTCCTGAGTTGTATTGTCTTTCATGTTTGTTGTCTTGTCGTTGTTGTGAGGATGGTAATTCCCATTTCTTTTGAGAGTGTTTGATGAGTCTTTAAAGTTGACTTCTCTCCATGGTTTTGAAATGTTATATACTGTATTCCGTTTCAAAATGGTTTTGATTATACTTATCTCTATATGTTATTTAACGCGTATTGATGGGTTACCAGCAATATTCATTGACCTGGTGTTATCCCCATGTTTATTCCCTTGTTCTACAGGTTTTGAGTAGATGTCTAAGAGCGCTAGATGTGGATCGCTAGATAGTTTAGCTGTCCTGTGTAGACATTATCTTTTGTTGGCCTGTGAGCCTAGTGTAGCGGCTTGTGTGCCTAGACACTTTATGTTTTGACTGAATTGATAGTTTTTCCCGCCTGTGCACCTATGTCTAAGATAGGTGTGGCATAACTCGTCCCGATTTTATATAGCTTCCGTTGCTTTATGCCTTGATGATTAGATATTTTCTTGTGATTTAAGTTTTAAAAATGTGGTAAAAATCGGGGGTGTTACACCCCCCCACTAAACACACACCAAAAAGAATATTTTTTATTAGTATTGTAGTATTTTTTTTGTAGCCCCCACCATCAAATATTTGTCATTCTGCCCCCCGTCCCCAAGCAAGCTTATAGAGTATGCTTTAAACTATTTTCCTTTTTGACTTTTAATCTCAAACCAACCAAACCAGAACAATAGTAGAATACAGCTCACAACACGGTTTGGACTTTCGCAATTCGCATTTCAGCCTTCGCATAATCACATGTTCTTCTTCAAACTTCAAGCTGCAAGTCTACATGTAATTTTCCATTTATTTTTTTTTTTTATTCTTTGAAGCTTTGGATTTTTTTTTTTATGAATTACTAAAACAAGCTGATTTTCTTTTTTATGAAGCTCTCACATCATTGTGCTTCCTATATGGTCACAAATTTACATGTTAAAGAAAATTTGAAAGATAATTTTCTTTTGTAGTTTTGTTAGATGAGTTGTTGGTGAGTTTCAGGAGAGAAGAAGTGAACAAGTGCAGAGTACCCCATTATGGAATAGTAGACTGTGGATTGCCCTATGGAAACTGGACTGTGGTTAGTGGATTGCTAATTTGCTTTCTTGTTAGCTTTTTAATTTGCAAATGAAATACATTACAATTGTGCTTATTATAAAGATAAATTGCCATTTTGCTACCAAAATCTTTAAATTTCTACCGCTTTAATCTTTGTCTATTTATTCTTTATTTTTTGTTTTAGTTAATTCAATTAATTTTTCAAAAAATTAATAGTGTGAACATCAAAAGATAAAGATGAAATGGAAAAGACATAAAGAATTGATATTTTCTTTAAAATAAAGAATTATGAAGATTCAAAATCTCAAGAAAATTCATTTGCAAGTATTGAGCCATTGAATTCTGAAAGACGTTCTAAATTTTAGTAGATTTGTGATATACTGATGATGTGAGCTTAATTGTGCATGCTTCTTGGTCGAGAATTTCCAGAATGCCAATTGGTGTTGGAACGTCAGTTTCGACGCGTCGAAAATCCTTGGCACGAATTTGGGAACTTGCGTGGAGTCTTCCTAATTTATCCCTATTGAACTCCAACTATAAAAGTCCATCTTCCCTCAAACCCTAGGGGATTATTCAGAGTTTTGGAGACAAGAAAGAAGAGAATTGAGAGCCACAAATTGTCTTGGGAAGCAAGGAGCAAGCTAAGGAGATTTGAGAGAATCGCTAAGTTTAATTCTTGTACTCCTTTGATTATTTGTAAACTCTTAGTTATTGTTAT